AAGCAAACAGGCCCAGTGATTTAAACCAGTAACAACACTAATTTTTTTCTGCAAACTGCTGTGGCCAATGCACTTGCACAAATGCAAATGGCCCTATCTAGAGCCAGTGTTTGGTTTGTCTGTTCTGGGCTACTGTAGAAACATGGCGGAGCTCTGGAAGAGGACCCACTCCCTATGTAGATATAAACAGCTCATTCTAAGGTAACAAAAACACAACAATTCTTATTTTCAGGTGATTATACACTAAAGAAATCACATTTTTAATATTATATTCCATTTCTGCCACTATATCCCCCTAAATCCTACACACTGGACCTTTAAGTTGTCTTAAAACATACTTCTATCAGAAAGCATATCCTCATTTTATCTGAGTTGCCTGTATATTTTGTTTAATCTTTTGCCTATTGTTACATATGTGTCCTTCTTGTTTTTTAACATTCACTTTTTATCTCTTTTTTTCTCTTGATGACAATTTATGACATTTTAGTTTGTGTAACGCTCTGTGTCTTATTATGTGTTTAAGCTGTTTGTGTTTTGAATGTGTTCAGTTTTACTGTAAAGCACTTTGTATCTGTGTTTTAAAAGGTGCTATATAAAATAAAGATTATTGTTATTACTATCAGCATTGATATTAATAGTAATGTTGTCTTATAATTTTAGAATCAACTGGTTTAAGGACCCAAAATGTAGAACTCGGAGACGGAATTGAAAGGACTGGTACAATTTATTATAGAGAAAAATGAAACTAAACTTGATGGAGGAGCGGGCAGGCAGGTCTTTAGATGAGTCCTTGAAAAACACAAAACAGATTTCCAGGGCGTGGCCGACAAACAGAGGGAATGAACTGGTATCTAGGGTCAGCAAAATCCCAAAAAACGTTTCAAAAAGAGCAAAAGGGTCAAGAGCTCGAGTACTGTGTTGGTAAACGGACGATCTGACGAAGACTGAAGTGAAGAACCAGGGTTTATAAGCAGCAGGAGTCAGGTGTGGTAATGAGCCAGACTGATCTCAGGTGTGCTTGATATGTGGAGGGAAAACTCAGGTAGGAGGAGGGTGACCAGATAGACAAGAGACACAGGGAAGGGGAAAACACTGGCCATATGAGGGGAGAGAAGCTGCCAGATCTAACATGTTGAGCGATTTCACAGAAAAGAGAAAAAATTCAGCTTCTGGGTGTTGCTGGAGGAAAAGTCAGGGGATCACTTAAAGATTCATCATCTGGGGCAGTGGTCCCCAAGTGGTGGGTCGCGGTTGAAAATTGGGTAGCAGGTCCATTTTGAATGGACCGCAAGTGACTCGCAAACATGTCAAGTTTGTAAAAAACACTATGTTTTAAAGTACAGTGAAATTTTGGCAGAAAACTTTTGTTTTGAAGCCCCATTTCCTGCTGTAGAGTGAGGGACTAATGGACAGCTCCTTAGAGACAGCAAACTAGCCCGACGACATGGGCAAACACAGTTATAACACTGAATATAATAAACTGTGTGGCACTTGAACTAATGACTAAGGAGAAATCTGGACCCTGTGGCTGCACCAGTTGGAAACCACTGCTCTGGGGAACATGACTGTACTGAATGTCATGGAAATCCATCAAACAGTTCTTGAGATATTTCACTTTGAACTTTCACTGATGCTAGTCCATACCCACTGAGTGCACAGGTGCCCACGTACAGTTTCACATGGTGTGTGTTTGGGATACAGGTCATAGGAAATTGCAGATTAAATAGTCAACTGAACCCATTAAGAAAAGCAATGTATTCAGACAGAGTTTTTGTGAATTTGATAGTACGATTGCTGTATTGAAAGTACAGTAGTACCATTGCCAACAGTGGGTTAGTTAGTGGGCTAAAACTGTACATTAGTAGTTGAGGTAAAAACATTGGGCCACAGGGGGAGCCACAGCGATCGGTTGCATTTTAGCCATTTTTAAGCATTTTTCTGTTGTTATAGCGCCACCCAGTTGCCAATTAGAGTTAAATTTCTCCAGTCACCTTGAGGCGTCCTGTTCTACATATCTACCAAGTTTAGTAAAAATCAATATGGCGGTTAGGCCTAGATATGAAATTAGCTCTCTAGCGCCCCCATTTTGTTTGATGGGGTCAATAATGGAGGGGTCCCCTCAGATTATGTGTGGTCATATGCCTACAAAGTTGTGTGGTGATCGGTGAAACCCTTGAGATGTTATACACCTTTATGTGATGAGCCACGGCCTCTGCAATATTCATTGCCTTATAGAAGCTCAGTTTTAGTAAGTTTTCCAACTTTTGCCAAGAGGGAACTTTAGATATTGGTCCCTAGATTATATTCACCGAGTTTCATGCAGATCGGTCAAACTTCCTAGGAAGAGATCGATTTTAAGTGTTTTTCAAAAAATTCAAAATGGCGGAAAATCTACATAACCGGAAGTTAAGGGTTCTTGAGGCAAATTTGTTCCTCATGAGGAGAGGCATCTCTGTGCAAAGTTTCATGTCTCTACGACATACGGGGCATGAGATATGCCCATTCAAAGTGTGCAATTTCAATCGGTTGCTATAGCGCCCCCCTTTGGCCAATTGATGTAATATTGCTTCATTCGCATCCTCCCATGACCCTCTACCACTGTGCCAAATTTCACATGGATTGACCAAGTCAGTGAGGAGAAAAACGTGGAACAGACACACAGACGATCGCTGTATCTAGAGCCATGCCGCTAAAAATAACCATAAATCAACTTGTGAGTCAGCTGAAAAGCACCTTTTATTATTACTTATTTTAAACAAGGTTAGTATAGTAGCGAGACATACAGTATAGGTACGATTAGTAAGCATAGCACCAGAATCATCATTCATTTCTTTTATACAGGCTACATACATACTGTAGGTACACGATTCTTTAAAACATCTTTGGATAAAGCATGGCAAACAAGCACACTGTTTCTCTGTTCAGTACCAATGCCCATTCAATATTTAGCACACTGTTTACAATTCAAGTATGAATATTAAAAATACACATATATCATAAGTTACAAATCTTAACGGTTATTACAAAAAAACCAAACAGGATTACATTTCTACAAAATTTTATGGCACATAGTGCATCAAGTATTCTTTAAATTTCTGATACAGACCTCATAGAACAATTGCCCATCATAAAAATGAACGATGGCCAAAGGTTTTCTAGCTGCTCATTGACTTTTTTTAATATATTTTTCAGCCATTCTTTAAATCAAAAGAAGCTGCATTGTCTGAGAAGAAGAAAAATAATCTGCGTCTATCTTCTAACTTTGGTTAAAGCTTAACATCAGAGTACCAGCATGTTAGGTTGCTTAATAGCTGTAGTAGCAGTGGTCATGGTGAGAGTCGTTTATGATGAGTTAAGTTAAGGGCAGACTTCCTCATGCAGTGGTTCATCTGATTTACCTGGCAACAGCTAGATTTTCAGCTACATTAATTAGAGGACCATCACATGCATTACAGGCAGATCCTACATCTGCCAAAGAGCTGAGAACCAGCGTTTTCCTTCTCAAGATCAGAGGTAATTCCAGTAGTTCAAAAGCACCATTCAAAAGATCCTCATTTAAGGTTAGTGGTTATACACTACAAACAGCAGTAGGCTAATACCTTTTTTTTTTCTTTTAGCAAAGCAGACAAAGGACAAAAAACATCAGACAATGGCTTCTCCGTTTCGTAGTAGTCATTGTGCCTTAAAACACAGAACATGTCTACAGTCATTACAGAATAAATATGGTCAAACATAAATATATTACAACACATATCTCAGTAGAGTATGGATGTCGGTGAGAGGTAGGGGTTGCAGGTACCTACAGTAGGCCCAATGGAGGGTGTGAGGTGAGACGTCACACCTGATACTGTGTCATGGTGTAAAAGATGAGAACTGTCTGTGTGGTGTGAAAATTAAAATAAAATAAAAAAAATCCTCATGGTTGAAAAAAAAAAAGCCACAGAAAACTTTTACACTGTGCTTAAACACTTGGAGATACTGAAAGATGTCAGTTATTTCCTCACAGCAGTAGTGTTTATTCTGCCTCTATGTGGCAGCCATGTGTCAGTAAGTGGACTGTGCTGGTTTCAGTAGTTCTGAGAAATACTTGACGGCAGATGACAGCAGACAGACGTTAGAAACACACAACAATGAAAACTAAAATCATCTAAAGTTGTTCTGAAGGCTCCTCACGTGCTCCTAAAGTTTGACCTCTGACATAAGGCAGGTCATATCAGTAGTTAGTCGCAAGCTCTGTCTTTAAGTCTTAAGCCCAAAAGAAGAGTTTGACATTTTGAGAAAATCACGTATTCACCTTTTTGCCGACAGTAAGATGAGAAGATTGATACTACTCTCTGCTCTCTATGTCTGTGTGGTAAATGCGAAGCCAGCAGGAGTATTTTAGCTTAGCATAAATACTGGGAATGAAGGTAAAGATCAAAGATAAATATGAAGAGAACTGGACACACTGTTGGAAGCGGGACCCTGTACATTCTTAGGAAAGTTGCTCAGTGGTAGCCTGGAAATCCAGATTCAAATCTAGACAGATTTTGAGCCAGGCCCTCACCGATACACCCTTCCTATCCAAGGGGCGGCACTAACTGGGGCATTTCAAATGCTGCCACACACAATTGGATAGCACAATAGCCAATCAGAGCACAAAACAAGGTGACGTATTCATTGCACTAAGCCCCATTGGTTTGCTGACCAGTGGGGCTAACTGATATATTATGCTTTTGCCGTATCCCATCAGCAAAACGGCAAAAACTTCCTTCCTGGAAACAAAGGCTTCTAGGGCAGTCTTCTGTTCCTCTCTCAAGGAAAAAGATAAGTGTGGTTGGCTTAGCATTTCTTCCAAAGCTAAATTGAATGGACGCGGCAGCTGCCATCTTGGCTGTTTAGTTTTCGACTCCTCTGGCGCAGCGCTGTCCTCCTCATGTTACGCCCGCCCAGAGCCCGCCTCTGTCAGATAGACTGATCTGATTGGTCTGATAGGCGATTCAGCGGGCTCTGTTTGTCGGGGCCAGATCCCCGTGCAGGGCAAATTTGAATTTGCTAGGGGCGGGGCATCTGGATTTCCAGGTTAGCTCAGTGGTGCATGAAGCCAAAAATGTTTAACTGCCGGGTATAAAATTACAAGGATGACTGGCATCTCTTCCACATCGCTGTACCTGGCTACTTCTGGTTCTCGACTTTCCAAATGTTGTTGGACCAAATGTATCAAATTCTTAGAAACCTAAGTCTTAGGGAAAAAACCTTTTTGGCCCAATGGCATCACATGACAGACTTGGAAACTGTAATTCCACTGTTTGGCTTCAACAGAAAATGGCTTCATAGATGCACTTCCTGGGGCCCTGTGCAGATGCCGGACTAAAGGTACAGTCACTTCCTTGAGTGTTTGCTCCCTGGTAACCTCATGTGTGATGTCAAGACTGTAGGAATATACCTAACAACTTTGAAGCTTTTATATAAGCTGTATATGTTCTGACTGTATATAAAGATGGAAAACAGGACAGTGCCCCGAAAGTGAAACCAAACCATCTCAATCGCCCTCTGGTGGCTGGCTGCAGTATAGGTCATAAACCCCACCCCCTCTGTGCTAACAGATAGGACATGCGTACACATGAAATAAACTTTTCCAAAAGGTTTCTGTCATTTTAGATGGTTCTTATCATGCTGATGTATATTCAAGTGTTCGTTTTTCAGATAAGTTTGTTTTTTAATTAGTTGTTATGCTAAGGAAAAGGGGATTTGGGGTCATGATTGACAGCTGTATGTGTCAATCTGTGTCATGCCAATGGTGTATGAGTGTATGGGCGGGAGCTTGACACCATGGCTCCACTCCTGGAAATGACATCACCAGCGCCCCTATCTGGGATGTTTCGGCTTCATTTTTGTACAGCTGGAAGAAGTGGAGACGCATCGTCCATCTATATACACAGTCTATGGTTTACATAATGGCCTGGCCTATTACCCCCTCTAAAACTACTACACATTGGTTTTGTACAGAGTAAACAAATCGGATACATGTTCATTTGTGAGCTGCTGGTGGGCGGATTTTGTTATCTTTAGACAGAGCCGGGCTATCAATTTCATCCTGATTCTAGTCTTTGTGATAAGCTAATCTAATCGTCTGCTAGTGGTTACCTCACATTTATCTCATCTCACTTTCAACAAAAAAAGTAAATAAGCACAAATGTCAAATTATTCCTTTAAACTTGTGTTAGGCCAAGATGATCTGCAGTGTAGCTCATTTAGTAGTCTCAGAAAAATACAGTGTTCTTGAATTACTTCTTTTTAACATCAGCCTATTGGTTGTCATCCTGTAAAACAACAACACAACCATCCCTCACATACTATTGCAGAGTCTGTAGCACTTCTTTGTCATCAGAAGATTGCAATGATTTTTATACTGTCTCATTCATTGCAATTCAGTTAGATAAGTTGCAACTAAATACTTACAGTGTAGCTGTAAAAATAAATATCTATGTACCGTGGAAATCCACATATAACAAGATTAGTTCCAGGTACTTCATGCCAAAATTCTGGCTTTTTTTTTTTTTTTTTTTTTACAGAATACACTTCACAGAAGAGAAAAAAATGTTTTTTAAAGATGAGAATTTCTTCCTTTAAGTACTGAGTTTTTTGAACTGTTTGTGTAGATGCTTTCTCAGTGTTTTGAAGTTTTGTATCCCTTTGTATAATGCTAAAATAAAAAGCAAAACAGTGTCAGAAAAAAAAATCATTTTAGGTTCCAAAGCGCAGACGTGTTTGATAGCCATTGCAACACTGTTGGCATGCAAATCTAGCTGGCTCTTCTTCAGAGTTTGCAGTTTGGATGAAGGACCCGACAGTGGTCCTGTAGTACTGCACAGTACGTAGTGTCTTGAATGCTTTAGCTGCCATTAGGAAACTGGGGATGTTACTGTGGGATGATTGCTGTTAAATGCTCCTCCGCCACACTCACAGATGACGACGTGGTCCAACAGATCACTGTTATTGCGTGTTCCTGGGCTACTGTCTTCAGGAGAGATTTAGGGGGGTTTGGTCTCTGCATGGCCCTCAGTGGACTTGAAGGAGTAGGCCATTGTGAGCTTGGGGAATGCACTTCCCACAGAAACCACCACAGCGGCCGTAGATTCTTGTTCCATCCTACAGACAGAGACAAATGAGAAAGGAAAGAGTGGGCAAAGGGCGGCTTTTTACGCAGAGAATGAACGCTTCAGAAATGTCACTGGGGATTCCTCTTTGGTGAATCAGACAGAAATACAACACGCAATTCAGATGACATTTCAGAGCGACAATCTCATTCCAATACTCCAAGACCCAGCATGAAGCACAATTACACCCCAGTACTGTATCTATATTCACAACATAATCCATTCTCTACGAGCCAAATGGCATCAGTCGTGCAAAAGACAACCATTTAAGCTTCTTACCTCAGATCTGTGGACTTTGACGGAAACATAGTTGCCCTGTGATGTCCACTTGGTGGCCTCAGCCACTTTGAGACCAGTGCCAATCAGATTAATGCTGAACTGGCCCTGAAAACACACATCAGATTGATTTATTTCTGAGCTGTTCTTTAACCAGGAAGTGAGCTCATTCATACTTGTAGAAAATGTCTATGACAGTAACTCAAAGGAGTAATACTGCAGAGTCGTGTAGTTTCGCTGCAGGTCCAGGGAATTATAGCAGCAGATGTTTAGTAAAAAATCACTTTAAGGCCACTAACACACAAAAGAAGTCACAATGTACAGTATTTCACCAACCTGCGGACACTTGGCTGCACTATAACAATCTCCCGCTGTAGCAAAGGGCACAGGTCGACCATGAAGAGTCTGGGAAAACTGGAGGTCTGTGACTGGTAAACAGCAAAGATACAGATCCAGAGTCAGAATGTGCAACAGCAGGAGTAAACATAGACAGAAGACAGCTGCTCTAAGGTAAATAACCACACAGAGCATCAGCAACTTCAGTTTATGCAATTAAATTTCATTGCAGGGTTGATGTCACTTCACTGTCATCGCCAGATGTTTTTCTCTTTCTAGCAGACCTGTACACGAAAATGTTGTTGCAGTGAGATTTGGAGTTTGAAGCCAAATACAGTAATTAATCTGCTTATCAACTCTAAATCCCTTAAAGGTACAGTGTGTAAGATATGGCCAGAATTTTATCTAAAGCTGTGAAGAAGTAACACTTTTGACATGTCGCAGATGTATTGTGCTGCACAGATAAGTACTGAAAGTAGCATGCTAGCCAGCTAGCCCCGGCCTGTCTTGTCTCAGGCTGTTCTCACGCACCACAATTTGTATTTAACACCTGTAATTCCGAGCCAGTATTTCACATAAAACTCTTGTAATTGGGAAGGCTGTGATCATGGGATCAATGCACTGACGGGAATATGGAAGCAGCAAATAGACCGAAAGTCCACGCGTTGAGCCAGGCTGGTGGATGGATCACAAAACATGGGACTTTCCCCCAGGAGACTGATTTTTGGGACTGTGTGAAACGAAGTGAAGTTTGAGTCATTTTAACATACATCATCATCATCAACATAACTTTACGTTCTGTATGTAATGTGATGATGCCTTTCGTGTTAGATTTTATTAGATATCACACAAACCGTTGTACGTGCATTTTCGTAAGATACGATACAAACTGATGTATGAAGATACGTTGCTGGGCTTGTAATACCACTTGTTCCCTGAGAAGTGAGCCCCTGTGGCCTCCAGTTTGCCCTCAGTCCAACATGAGAGGACAAAGAAGTAGAGCCATTGCCCCCCCAGTTAGTGGCACGGTAAAAACAATGTGTGGCGGCAGAGAAAGGAATTGATATATGGTAAAACAAGAGTAAACACTGATGTGGCTTTTCACTGCTTGAGACAGCTCTTGGCGAGTAAAGATATGAGGTTTAATGCTCAACTTGCAATATTTCTTTTAGACTGGTAAATAACTTCTAACACTGGCTATCTAGTGTATCTTTAGTGCAACTTATGACAACATAAGTGGTATTGAAAAACACCCCAAATGGCGTCGATGTATGGCTCTGATGTGGCTGTTTTCTTGCTACTATGGTCTTGCTCAAACTGAGCTAAGCAAGCTATAATGTCAACTATAGTCTGAAACACATGTGAAGATTAAAACACAGCAGTGTTATTTTGACTGGCTCATAGTTTCAGCATGTTTTGTGCAAAAGTGATGATAAAAGATTTGATAAGAGACGTATTAAACTTTGAGCTTATGAATCCAGGTATTTTACCAGCGTGGAGCCAGATCCAAAATGAAACCGGCTATCACAAACAGCACATCCCCGTTACAGTAGATTTGTGATTAAACCGGCTTCACGCATATCAAATCTTTGTTTCACATTTTGACTCAGTGACTCAATCTGATCCTTGTTTCCCTGCCTCTCCTGTTCGTTCCCATTTACCCTGCGTTGTCACACATGATAACCATGACCGGTACCTTTTCCTGCCCTCCCTTCACGTTGCCTGTACCAAATGATGATAGAGTTCACGAGATGCTTCCCTTCATCTTGAACTCATTATCCCCCCCTCAGCTCTCTTCAAGCCGCCTGAAAGCCAAATGAGTACCATGCAGAGGGGGTGGGGTGGGGAACATGTGCTGTCAGGACCCATACCAGACGAAGACGATGGGAGGATGACTGTGTAGGTTCTAATCCAACTTCCCCTCAGCACACACACACACAGACACACACACACACTGTACACTAATCCACATTCTATAATCAAAGGCATACTTGGACACAACAGGGAAGGTGGAGCTGACTGTAATAATGAGCAGAGGAATATGGCCTGAAGATGTGTGTGTATTAGTGTGTCTGTGAATGTGTGATTGCTCGCATGCTAGTATGAGTGTTTGATATTGATGCGACCGGGTGTGTGTGCCTGTGTCTTTGGGTCTTCTCGCATGCGCTGGCCAAACAAAAGATGTGCGAAGCAGCATCACATATTGTCTGTCTGTGCATGAGAGCAGGCACGCGTGTCTGTACGTTGCATGCACGCATTCCTCTATTCTTGCGCTCACGTGTTTGTGCTGAGAGGCCCGGTTTCAAGCCCTCGCCTAGCGATGTGAACACAGAGCGCTGAAAGGTCATCATTTTGACTCCAGAGTGGAAAGTACGGGGAAAGCTGCAAATATTGCATTTAGACGAGGCACTATTAAGCACTACGGGACGAGGCGTCTGAGGGTTAAAACAACACTGATGTGTGGTCTCATTACAGTAGACAGTGTAAGGCAATCACACAGTAATTACGCACTCATTATCCTCAGGGAGCCAAGGTCCACACGAACTTTGTGGAAGAGTGTGTATCCCGCTGCTGAGTAGTCATTCCTGCAGTCGCAGTCCTGTCTTCTGCTGCCGTTGTACGGACATTCAAATGGGTTCAGTAACCTTTGTATTAAGGACAATGAGTGTTAGGATTTATTCAAGATAAACACAGGAATCTGAACGCGCCAGCAATAAATATATTTGTACACATGCAGCACAGTAATTCATATAATCACTGAGTCACAGCTCAAGTGGCAATCAGTCATGGATGCATTAAATACACACCTGTGCCCATACACCTCTGAGTAGTTGTCTGTCTGACCACTGCGCAAGGTCACATACTCCTTGGGAAAATCCGTCTGCATCTCAGCACAGTAAATCTGAGGGCAAACACACATTGAGACGATACATGAGAGCCTGCCGGGAAGCTACAGGTTGAGTCATGATGTGTTCTGACAGAACAGGTGCACCTGTAGGATCCGGGACTTGACTTTGAGATAGTACTCCCCATCTATCTTCACACCCAGTCTCATCTGGACGTCTCGGCAGGAGGCGAACAACTGGCCTGGGAGACGAAATATGAAGAGAGGAAGGAGAGGTTTCAATGCAACAGCAAGGGAACACTGATAGCTGAAATCTGCTTTTGAAACTCTGCTTGTGCAAGCCAGTCAAAAAAAAATTTGTTGTAAACAACTGCCAGAATGATTGCACAAGCTAATGCATTAAACTCCGCTATGTGAGAGGACTGTAGCCTGGTTCTCGTCTTCTTAAATGAGAGCTGTTGTAAATGTCTCATTATTTGTGCTGCCTCCTCTGCTTTCCCAGAGTGCTGAAGAGCTCATATCATGCTGATTAGCTGATTAGCATTAATACTTGACCGCAGAACTGGCTGTCACCCGAGCATATCATTTTAATTTTGCCAGTGCCTGACTTGGCAGAAGCCAAGTCGGGAATGAACAGCCCAATGCGCAAGTACTGAAAAATCTGAAATGTGGGGGGGCGAACCTACAAACTTTGGCCCGCTGCCGGGTTTTACAGAGCTTCACAAGTTCACAATGAAGGCTGCCTCGGCCCCAGCGCACACACCCTGAGGCGTTTTGACAGACTGTCCATTTCATAATTTGTAGAAATCCGTTGACTGTCTATTTATTGTTCCACTAAGTATTCACTCCAAGAGGCTTTAAGTAGAGGTCGCTGCTCTGCGTAATGTGTTAAAACAAAGCAAAAAGTTGGGTTTCTGTAAACACAATCAGACACGGTGTTGGTTGCCATATACAGCACAGTCAATTTAAGACCATCACTCTGCAAATACCACGTTGGCAGTAAGCACTGCATGGATCAGATGGGAGAATTTTATAGATATATACTTAACAGCCAAATGAGAGAAGAGAAGAGAAGAGAAGAGAAGAGAAGAGAAGAGAAGAGAGTTTGACCCACATTCTCTATCCTGACACGCAGCCTTGGACTCAGGTCTCTCTGAAGGACGGCAGTGTTTGGACGGTTGGCCTTTGGACGTCACACACTCCACTCTGCGCTCCATCACTCCCGCCCCGCAGGTCTGCGAGCACTGGTAAAAACACACACAAAAGCATTCAATCCCACAGCTCCAAAACAATTAACAAATAAGCTGCCACCAGATCCAAATCCACAAATGAGATTTGTCATCAGAATGCACAAGTCACCAAAATGTTTTGCGAGAATGGCGATTAGCTTGAGAGGATTTCTCACTGCCTAACAAGCGCTTTCTGTTTCACCTTGCTCCACGGGCCAGCTTTCCAGTAGGTTGTGTGCGGGCAGTCCCTGAGGAGGCAGGGCCGGGCGCCAGGAGGGTGGGGCTCGGGGCAGTGGGTGCTGGCAGAGGAGGACTGGGCAGCAGCAGCGGTGTACGGGCGCAGAGCCTGAGAGGAGGGCATCATGGAGCAGGAGACTATACGCTGCTGGTAGCCCACACCGCAGCTGGCAGAGCACTGAGCCACACACAGATACACACACATGGACAGTTAATAAAGACTGGCATGAGTAAATATTTGCGCAGAGCATTAATTATATACAGAAGGGGATTTCTTCTTCTGGGCCTCAGTGGTACTCATGTGCCTCTGACTGTATCTCTGTCCTGTGTAAACTCTGTCTCCAACTTTTCATGACCTTAAAAAAGCAGCCTTGTTCTCAGCTTTATCACAATTTACTTAGTTAATACAATGAGTTTTTAAATGGTTTATTCAACCTAAAAAGCTGGAGAATGTCCCAACCTGTAAAATAATACTTAATTCTTTAGTTTATCTGAAAAAGTCAACACCGCAAACATTTGGTGATTCATGCAGACAGCAACTAGGGAGGTTCCATGTTTTCATATGTGAGGATTTGCTGCTTTTCTTTGTTTCATAACATTTTAAACGTAATACTTTTTTTTGTACTGTTGGCTGGATAAAGACCCTGACACACCAAGCTGACAGTCGGTGGTCGGTCAGTGTCAGCCATCACGAGCGTCCATGAGTTTTTTTGCAGTGTGCCCCACGCTGTTGGCACTAGTCGGCCCTTGTCAGCTGTTGTTTGGCTGCTTTTTTTTGCTGATTCAGCATGTTTAATTAGCCTGTTGATAAGTGAAATCACCCTGATTGGTTTAAGTGCTATATCGTAGGCAAGTGGGCTTTCTTGAGTTTCTTGAAGACGTTTCACCTCGTTTGACCCACCTGGCCATCATGTGTGTCGTTAGGGTTAGATGGGTCCAGGTGTGATTGAGTGTTAAGTCACACAGTCGGATAAAGTCAAGAGGGAGTTAGATTGAAACAAACTAAGACTGGATGGATAAAACTTTTTAGTCATTGAGCTCTTCAGCAGAAACACTTCGTAATTGTTTGTGCTATTGTTTGCTAGCCCATGGTGAATATCCTTTGTTAAGTCCACACTGAGTCGTGTTGGTAATGTGCTAACTGGCTAACTAGCATCTTGAATCTGTCCTCTTTGTCTTCCGGGGCCCTTTTTGAATGATGAATACGGACTACTGTAGCTTGCTGCCATGGAGAGCTACTTCCCCTCACGCAGGCACGGAATGTACAAGCTAATCGACTGATGGCTGTAGTCCCTGCCGTTTTCTCTAGGGGGAACCTTTTTAGCCGACACACAGGTGATGTGAGGTGCCACAACACTTAGCCTTTGTCACCACTTTCTTTGATGTCGCTTAGATGTTTCTGGGCCTTAAGACCAGCAATCTGAAGATGTTGCCCAGAGGAAAGATCACTTCTTTACTATTACTCGTGGACATAACTGAGCTTAATATAATGTCAATATGAGATTTTGACAATTTTCTCACACTTCTTAAATTAAGAAGTACTTCCTAATTTAAGATCCTAAAATGTTCTTTTCCCTCTCTTACTGCTGTAGTCTTTATTTGTATGAAATAATCCACTCTTGAGATAACAGTAAGATCCAAAAGAAACATGATTGGCTTATAAATGAGCCTGCATATTTCAGAAATTTATCTCGGTGATCAAATTCAAGTCTTAACTCTGTATTTTATCTGTTGTCAGAGTTAAGAAACCTCTGATGAGCCTGCAAAGCAAAAGATCTCCTGCTGATCTATTCTTTTGCTCCTTATATCTCCTAAAGCGATCCTAAAGTAGCTCAGCTTCACCTCTAAGAATGTATGTGTGTTTCACTATTTTTTTTCATTAGCTGTATTAGCGGTAGAACAAAGCTCAGTTGTCAGTACTTCTTTTATTCCCACCTGTGACCATTCCCCTGTAATCCACATGTAATGGCAGGGAGCTCTTTTGCAGTGCTGGTGTGATGGTGGCTGGGACGATGGCTCACAGTAATCCTCCTGGACGGGTGTCATCCCCGGGCCGATGCATCCCACCTTCCTGCCTCTCATGCCTTCTCCACAGGTTGCATTACACTACACGGAAAATAGCAGCACAGGAGGAAATCAGGAAGAGTGAAGAAGAGCTGGCAGAGGGGGGGCAGTGTTGTTCTTTCAGCAACATCATTGACTTCTTAGACTCCTGCTTGCCTCTTTAGCTCTCCAAACAGACACTCCTTTTTATGTAAAGGTTTACACAAGTAGGAAAAAAATGAAGTGTTGTGTGACAATGCCAGCATTAGCTCTAGAGAGGCACAATCCCAAACATGTGCTCTAGTTGATAATGTTTCCATAAAAGATAAAAGTTAAGCCGGGTGTCCCTCAGGCCCTGTAATGGTTTATAGGAGTATTTAAAAGTAATGATATGGACCAGAATCCTAAAATTAATTTATGTAAAAAGTCAGCTGTGTGTGTATTTTTGGGGCCAAACTGTGAAAGAAACGAGGCTGTGAGTTCTCGAGGCAACGCAGACAGGAATCTGAGCACTGCAAACATTCTGCAGCAGGACGACACGGCACTATGTCCCTACATGGTGCCCCTCTTTTATGCCTTACTTTGGAGGACAAAGCACAGGGCATTAAAAAAGATGAGCAAAGAAAATAGCCTGCTAGCGTGACACAGAACAGTGATGCTCAGCAGGACAAAAGCGATGATGGCCATCAGTACTTTGAGGTTTGATATGATGTGCCGACTGATGGTTATCGCTAAAGCCCTCACAATAGATGCGAGAGAGCGAGGGTACCTGCAGGTCGTCATTTAATGGTGCAGAGAAAAGGAGAAAGAGCGGAGATCTCAGCCAATAAAAACCTTAATGAGATGGTTTAACATCTGTTCATAGGGGGGCTGTAGATAGGAGGAGAGAGAAAGAATGAGCCTGGACTTACTTCTTCCCATTCACCAGCAACCCAAGAGTAATGTGTGCATTCTGCAGTTTGGCAAGGCCGGACAACGGCAGGACGCTGTTGAGCATCACATAGATCCTCTCTGACCCGTCCAGTGCCTTTCAGTCTGCAGTAAACATCTCGGTTCTGGACTCCGACTCCACAGGTGACAGAACACTGGTGAAACGGACACAGAGCGCAAGTATGATTGAGAAAAAGGCAGTGAATGAAAACTAAATTTAAGGCTTAACATGTTTCCCAAACTGTACATAATACAGCCAAGGATATAATAGCAGTCTACTACTTATTTTCCAACTTCAAGTCTCACATGGAGCTGATCTTACAGGAGAGTTTACTCACCATGAGTAGTGATGATGTCATCAGTGTTATCTTGGCTTGGACTTGGAGACTTCAAATTTCTAACAAAAGTCTGAAACTGAAGGGTTTAAAGATATACTATGCAAGGTTTTCCTAAAAAACAATGTATAGACTCGTACCTAAGTTATCCCTCTCAATCATCACTTATGACCCACTAGAAGTGTACCCATTTGTAGGCGTGTACTTCCAGAGTGCTCAGGTAAGGTCCGGGCTTTATAAAAGTAGTGACCATGTGCCAGACCTTAAGCAGCAGGCTTCTAAAGCTCAGTTCAGACCAAAGATTCGTGACAAGATGAGCTGAGACAAGAAACTACTTGCAATGTGCTGCAACTAGATGAGACGGTGTATCATCTCTATGCAACAACTCTCTGTACTTCTGTTCTGATTTCCAGCTTTTCAGACTTATTTTGTGGCTGAATATAATTTGTAGCTTCGTATTAATATATGAATGAGAATAGCGATAGTGAGATACTGGCTACAGTTGCATTTGTAGGGTTGACAGAAACAGAGGGCTCAGCTGGGAAGGAGCACCTGCCACAGCAAGCAAACACGCCATCTGCGGTCACTTCGACTTGACCAGTGGACTTCATTACAAGCCGACTATAGAAACAGATGATGTGCTTTACGTTCTAAAGTCAGCTGCTGGCGATTTGACCAGGCTTGAGTCGAGCTCAAACTGGCCAGTTACACTACTGCAACTTTTCTCTGCAACATTCTAAAAAGGTTTCATCTCGTCACGAATCATCGATCTGAACTGGCCTTAAGGGACACCAGAATATAGTGAGGCAAAATGCCAAACAGAGGTGAATTTGGGTTTGGTTTTTACCTTCACTTTCGCTGGTGAGTGTGTTTATATACAGAATCGACAATTCAGCATAATTTATCTTTAAAATAAATGGCCATTTAGAAGGCTGAAGGGTCTAATGAAAGATGCAAATAACTTCTATTAAGGGAATTGTAGAATCTAGTGTTTTTGGAGTTTGACTAATTCTGTGGACTAAAAGTCCAGATACGTCCACGTCTGCTGCTTCAATTTCAGTCCCTCTGTATTTGCTGCAAAGTTGTCCCAGTGACTAACCACAGTACTGCAACAACAAACTATTATAAAAGACACGTCTGAAAAACTGCTTGCTGACAAATTCAAAGATAACTAGAGACGTAAATTGCAAATTTCATCACGATATGATATTATATTAATTTCTTCAACAATGTAACAATATTTGCTGATATCACAACATTTGCCATGACCCGATCTCAATTCGATTTGATTGATTCAGGGGCCTGAAATCGATGCAAGATGACATCAATCAATATCCTCAGTCTTTGTCTTTGCTGCTTACCATTATCTGCCTGGTGCTGAATGTTTCTTGAATGTTTAGGAAAGTGGTGTTCTTGGACTGAAACAGTGACGGACATACCATGGGGATTTCAAATTAAAGGTGTATCTCAAAGATAATGTTATGTATCAGTGTCTTCTTTTTGGATTGATGATATTGGGTCATTGATTAGATCAATGTAGTCCTGTCGTTACACCCCTAAATATTACTCTTTTTTTTATTTCTATCTCATGAAGGTGGAGTATTTGTTACACCATCCTAAACGGCTAGGAAAGCTCTTCTTAGCTCATTCCAATGTAAAGTCTATAACAGGGTATGGGGGGCCTGGAGGGCTCAGGGAAATGCATTAATCTGTATTGTGCTGGGCTGCATAATGTGGAAGCAAACCAAGAGAGAAAACTTAATATATGAGCTAGGTTAGCAACTTTTATTGTAATGAATGGGCAACATCTTAATATAGTCATTGTAGAATGGGACAATAAACATGTCCTCTACAGTGAATCTGTGAAATGATTATCTGTGATGTGCTTAAACACAGTGGCACAAGAGGAACAGTCATAAAGTCAGCGAACCGGTTTAGTGATGTGAAATTTGCTTACATGAGCCACCAAAAACTACTGGTCGTAACAGACTAAATGGGGCTACAACAGCAAAACCACTGAGTGTATTTAATTTAGCAAGTATGTATTTTACTGCTTATGAACTTGAGTTGATATTTGTAAAAGAAGAATTGTGTCAGTGCGTCTTTCAAAAGCTTCAGAGTCACTTTAATGTGACAATATTTAAAAATGTTTGTTTGGTCTACAGTGCCAGATTAGCTGCTTTGATGCCCCTGAACAATGAACTTAATAAATCCAAAGCTGGTTTGACGCTTCTTTGTGAGACGTATATCTGGGGTCACACAAAGGTCTATCTCAGACATCTCTTTGATGTGCTTTGAGAAGCATACCTGCATACTGAGGAAGCACTCTGTAAGGCTTGAGCTGATCAGCCTGATTTCTCTCCAACTCTCCTACAGACCTCAAAGAGCAGTGCCAGGCCTCAGCGATCTCACACAGTCAGAAAATCTGCGCATTATACAGCCAGTATCAAATTTCCCCGAAAACTTCCAGATGTATTTGTGTTGTTGGTTTCTCACTGCAAGTGTGTGTTATCATTGTGGAGTGTGTGGTTGAATATGAAGGGTCAAGTCCTTGAGTTTGGAAAGAGAACAAAGAGCATCGAAATCTAACCTTCAAATAAAAAAATACTGCTTTTTAAAATTTTACAAAGCACAAAAATAAAAAGCTGCTGTTAAATAGATTTTTGTCAATGTCAGCTACTGCGGCTACAGAAATCTGATTCTGTTTCCAGAAAAAGAGATGTAGTCCTTTTATCTGAGGTGGTGGGGACATCATGAAACTACAGATGAAAAATAAGGAGACTATTTCATGATTTCATTCTAGTGTTGGGTGAGCCTCACCAGACTTTAAAGGGTCAGTTCACCCAAATCTCAAAGCATTTTCCCACTTTTCTCTAGTGATATCTAGCCATGTAATTTTGTTTTTTTCCCCTGGTGGTAAGAAAGCCACCTTTGATATTTCTGCTTATTGAATTTTATTTGTGCTGCTCACAGCATTGAAAAACTATATTTGAAAAACCCAACAACAATGTGTCTTTTCCAAAAGACTATCCATTTCACAATTGATAATCCACAAAACACACGAAAAAATTGTTAAAAACTGGAACCAGGGAGGTCAGTTTCAGCATATTTACTTATATATAAAAACGGAAGTCGAAAATGGAAATTCGCCTCCTCTGCCCAAATCAAACCGGAATGCCAAAAAATCGGGGGTCTGTCCCCAGAGGCTGTATCGCCGTCTGCCGGAAGTCAGATGCTGAATACAGCCGATGGGTTCCGAGAATGACCGGTAACTAAGTGATTAATTTTCAGTAAAAAAAAGCAGAAGGACTTGAACAAGAGGTCTTTCCTTTTAGTCCTGCGCTCTACTAAACAAAGCACCATAGATTTAGAGGTGGTGAAATTTTAACGTTTTGTGCTGTAAATGCCTTTTATCTAATCTTCTGTTGGCTTTGCAGAAACACAGCCGGCTAGCCACGTTATCATGCTGAAACATAGTGCCCACTGTCCACCCTCTGGTCTCCTCTGGTTAGCCTATGCCGCACTGCACACCACACTTGTCAGGTGGGAGATAGCTCTCAGTGCTGCTCATTCGCAATTGCTGCTGTACATGCCTTGCTGCAAAACATGGTGCCCATCCTCCAGTTTCCCCGCAGAAGGCCCTAGTGGGTAAGCGGCTTCATTTTGATCCACAAAAGGCTTTAGTATGTTTATTACCGCTTACAGTGGTAGTTAACAACGCAAAAGGGGGTTTGCGGTTCAAAATTGAGCCGCTTATTCAGTGGAGTGATCTGAGGAAAGACCAGAGGGTGGGCACAATGTTTCCACACCAGTGCTGTTGGGTCGGGATGGCGTTACTACTAGCAATCACCAAATAAGTGGCGCTGCTAGCTACTCTTTTAGCTACTCTACCAAACCAGGGTGCTGTGCAGTGCAGTAAACGGAGGATTGGCAAAATTAACCTATAGACCAAGGGAAGGCAATGCATGCAGCTCTTTAGCCCCTCGCCAGTGGCTCCGTGTGGCTTTGACAAAAAATTATATGGAGATTAATAAAGTTAAAGTATGAAATTATCCTAAATAGGCCACTGCAGAGTAGCCACCTTGTAGTAAAACATAACAATGAATGCTCATTTAGATCTATTAGTACTGTTTATAACATATAATTAAGACTTAACAGGCTGTGTTAGTTACATCACAAGGCTCAAATATGTTTTGCTGCTCCAGACAGATTTTTTATTTATCTTTTATTTAATTCTCTTTTGATTGTCACCAAAGGTTGCCAACCTCTGCTAAAGACCAACATGTGTAACTGGTTGAAAATATTCTCAGTCAGTTAAAAGCTGACATCCATATTTGGAACGACTTTCTACCCCTGGAAGAAAAATATAAAATATATTTCATTAAATTTGGATGAACCAACCTTCTAACAGCAATCTAAAATACTTCACAGGAAAAACGTGTGCACAGCATTACAAACGACCACTAAAATGAGAAAAATTATTCTCATGTCCTCGACTCAATGGGCAGTCCAAACCCCCTCAGCTCCTCTAACATGTTGCCCATTACACCCCCAGTCAGAGGTGACTGAGAGGGCCGGGTAGCTGTGGAATAACTCAAACAGTGGGTGCTGAGGTTTCAAAGTTGTCACATGCATGGATATTAAGATATAAAACATGTCTTTATGCTCTAGTTGAGGATTTCATGGTTGCTGGTGGTATGCGGAGGAAGATGATTGCTTCCAGACACCAGCGGGAGAGAGTGAGTGAGAGGGGAGGTGGACACCCTCAGAGAGTAGGGAGTGGTAAGAGTCTTGTGGAGGGAGGAGGACATGGGTCTTCATGGACCTTTTGGGATTTAACAGTTACTTGGAAAGGAGGAGGGATATGGTTGATTTTCAAACAGGGGATGAAACAACTTGAAAAAGTCTCAGTATTTTTGAAAAAAAAAAAAGTGATCAGGAAATATTGCTCAGCCAAGGGGCGGCTGATACGATGTGGTGAAAGCATATTCACACACGATACACACCTTAGAGCAGCTAAAACTAATAGTTTTTATTTCACCAGTGGATCCTATGATTGTATGTGAAAGGGGTCACTCATAGTAATGAATCACAAACATTTATCACCCTCTGCAGTGTAGTGTTGTGTCTTTTTTTACCCATTATTTTAGTTTTCCAGCAAGTAACTCGATTGTTTTGGTTCACTCTTTGTCTCATTTAGCAATATGAAGTTGATAATACATCAGTGCTCGGTTCTCAGATGTTTCTCAAGCCTCTGAGCAACTTATTGGGACAACTTCTTGAAATTGGTCCAGTATTGAGCGAGAACACTGCAGTGGAACCACTCAGGGCACTGTACTGTCAGTGTATGTCCACTAAAAGTCATTGTTTTTGCCACTCACAGGCTCAAGTTGTTATTCTAAGAGTCTGACAACATTATGGAAAAGATCTCTACAGATACAGACCCTTTGTTAAATAGTAAGATCCTTTTTGTTTGAACCAAAAACAGCCCCAATATCACCATTGCTAAAGCCACCAGACTCCATTTAAATAAACAGTAATTTTATCACTGTGACACACACTTCATTCAAAGCTGACAGAACGAAACGAAACTCACATAAACCATCTTGGTTTGTCTTTCCACTGTTCTAATAATCACCGACTACTGGTCGAAATAAACCTTTAATTCAAGTTAGATGTTAAAAGTGAGAGGATGGACAGACATCAGAGAAGTAGCAGGATAAAACAGTTTTTGGAGCTAAAATATTTTCACATCTAACTGGGTGAATTAAAAGTTTATTTGACCAAACAAGAGCTGGTGATTGTTGAAACAGTGGAAAGATGAACCAAGGCAGTTTTTGAGAGTTTTGTATTGTTTGTATCTGTTAGTATTGTTTCCTTCGACTTTGAATGAAGTGTGTTTTCTTATGACAAAAAAAAAGCCATTTTGGGGCTGTTCCTAGGTAAACAATTGGATCTCACTCTTTAACAAATAGTTTTAGCTCTGTAGGGATCCTTTCTATAATGTTGTCAAACATTTAGAATTTAGAATAACCGTCTGAGCCTGTCAGTGGCAAAAACAAGCACTTTTAGTGGATGTGCAGTAGGGCTGCAACGATTAGTCAACTAATCGATGACTAATCGACTATTAAATTAATCGGTGACTATTTTAGTAGTCGACTAATCGTTTTGAGTCATTTTTCATAGAAAAGTACAGTTAAAGTACCTCAAAAAACTCTTATTGCAGCTTCTTACGTTCAAATATTGGTAGCTTTACACACTCTCCCATGACGGTGAACTAAAACCCTTTGGCGTGAGTACAAAACAAGACATTAGATGACATAATTTTGGGGTTTGGGAGAGACAGACTGACATTTTTCAACATTTTAAGACATTTTTCGATAAAATGATTAGTAGCCTAATCGAAGACATAATCGACAGATTAGTCGACAATTAAAATAATCGTTAGTTGCAGCCCCAATGTGCATTGGAGGTACATTTGCCCAAAGTGGTGACATTGCAGCGTGTTTCGTGGCTTCTGGCTGTAGTGCTCTCGCTCAATACTGGACCAGTTTCAAAAATTTGTTCCCATTGGTCACTTAGACACAAAAACATGAAACATCCAGGTTGAAAAAATCAAAAGATACCATTTAAGGGGCAACTGCTGGAAGCTCTTTGTATTTATTGTGTATTTTTGAACTAACAATATGCTTGTTTATCAATGGAATCTGACAGATAGTGACAAGCCATTGCTACTTCCATTCTACTCTATGTCTTAAATAAATTCAGTTTTGAATATTTTCCTCCCTGTGGGATCTCAACGTGACTTTCAGCCAAAACTGTGTTGCAGCTACATGCATTTCCTCTTGGTAGCAACTATAGCGGCTTTGTGGTCGGCTCCACAATGACTGTGACCTCACCCCCCTGGTGTCTTCTCTATGCGTGGCCTTTACCCTGCCAGTGTCTGGGTGCGCTAGTGTACAATGGTACAGAAACCTGCTGTGCTTCAGGACGTGTGTCATTCTTAACATCCCGCTTTCATCTGTATGGGAGGCCACGCTCGGCTGCAGCTGCAGCTCTGGATCTCCATGTTTACTGCGTTTCATTAAGATAGCGTGTTTTGAGCAGCAAAGACATTCTTAATAAGATTTAGTGTATGGAGTGTGATTTACATGAACAAGCTTTTGTGCGTCACGTAACACACAATGCTCTTGAATGACGCTGGTCAGTGTGTGGTCTGACGAAAAGCTTCAAAAGAAAAACTCGGCGTAAAGCTCTACTGTAGATTACACAACTATTTCAACACTTTGAATCTTTCAAACCCGACTAATCTTAATGTCAAGTGCACCACATAAACAGTTTTACAAATCCAGCCTGTGGTGTTTAGCTCACACTTATGGAAATGACACATTACTCTTGACCAAGAATAAACTGAGTGGTGATTGGTGTGTACAGTGTCCTACATCTGCAACCTCTGGGAAACCTTCTGCTGTGTTTGTGTTTCAGCTGCTAGCAACAGTTATGCTCCCTGAGAGAGAGCCTGGGCTATTTTGTGAGCCGGAGGAGATGGCGAGAAGAGCAAACATACCTCCCTCCACCTGTTGGCCTTCCAAGTGGGGCATCCCCGCGCCCGACAGGCCTTCTGTGTCCGAGGCCGAGGCAGATGACTGCAGTGTTCCTCCTCTATTTTGGTTTGGTTCTGATAAACACAGGCTATCTCCCGCTGCTTGGTCCCCCGACCACAACTCACTGAACACTGGAGAGGGAAGAGAGAAGGGGGATGGGTGTTGGGTGTTGGGTGTTGGGTGGAGAATAAGACAAAAGAAGGGCATGTTAGCTGAAAAAGATCATAGCTTTCAATCTTTACTGATAGTGGTCATAATCATGGATACAAAAAGGTATAACAAAATGTAATATTTAAATGCTGTGAGAACCAGGGATAAAATTTGCCTCTCGAGAATGGAGACAAAAAGGAGCCACTGAATTAAACATTGGTGAATTACAGAATGCTTTTCTCAGATCATTTAAACCTCAACTCATGAGCACTCAGTGCACCCGACAGCTTCCTTGTTGCATTTCATGGCCAAGTGAACACACTGCAAACAAATCTAACTAAACAACTTAAATGGATTTCACCAAAAGCTTTTGTCAAACACTCACACGCTGATGGAACGCGGCCAACTATTTAACCTGTAAACACAGGAATTACTTTTAGAGCTGCTGTGAACGGCAGAGGCCGAGGCAACAGGAAGAACAGACGCAAAGCGAAACATGGATGCATGGCGAGACAATCATCTGGTACGAATAAGGTACTCAGAAGTACTTCAGGAGAGCTCGGAAAACGACGACGGAGAAGAAAGAGGAAAAAAAACACGATGAATAAAAACCAGACACCCTGATGACAGCTCTGAAACAGGCCTGAGATTATAGATGAAAATATTCTAGAGTCTTCAGTCCCCATGAGGCCAGACAGCAATTAGGGTGCCCGCTATTTCTGCTTGACGAGTGAGCGCCCCCATACAAAGCCACTCCAAAAATGGCGGCTGGAATTGAATACACAAGACGAGGAGAGTTGCATTTTGTCTTAGCGTATTTTCCAGTCCAGATAATAAACATAATATTGCATTGTCCCCTAATTATGATCTCAGAATGTTGCATAACACCAAACACACACATTTTTTTCCTGTGTGCTCATAGTACCAATCATATGACAGATGATGGACCATGGAAACCTAAATATCTTCTAGGATTTTGTCATTTCTTTCTCCAGTTTCTAGAAGGTACAAGCCATTTTTTATTTAAAAAGAATACTTCTGATCAAGGTTTGAGTTTCTATTTGAACCCTTCAAACAAAGCCAGCTCCAGCCTTTTCTTCTTAAGTGTGGTGCGGGCTGTGGTTGACACTGCACACACACGCATCATACGCATTGTAATTACCATGGCATTTTAAACACAGGGCTGGCTCAGCTGACGGAGAACATCAAAGCAGAGGCCGGAGCTGAGTGACTAGTCCTGAGCATGGCAGATTCACATACCCGCTGTGCACACTCACTCAAAAATGATAACAGAACTCCCTCTACCTCAGACAAGAGCAGAGACAGGCAAACATATGGGAGGTGAGGAGGGAGAGGGGGGTGAGGCGGAGGGCAAGCCCCTCCTTACGGCTGTAAAAGCAGGAGGAAAAAAAAAGAGACAGGAAAAAAAAAAGGGAGGAAGAAAGGAAATCGCAGCCATACGGGCTGCGCTCCCCCAGCTGAACTGTATCTGCATTTCAACGGTGGGAGAAAAGACGCTATACGGCGAGGTGCTCCTCCCTCCGCCCTGCCAACCTCATCTGTCAGCCATTAGTTAATCAGGGCTGGTAACACAGAGCACAGAGAGCTGGCACAGCTCGTGGGACCAGAGGACAGCTTCACCTCTGAGAGCAAGAAGAGGGCAAGGACTCAGGGACCTCTGCTTCACCAATCTACAGCTGGGCTGCTTCACTCACCAGCACCCACTCAGGTAAGACTATTCCACTTATCACTTACTTTCAGCCACTACAAGTGTGACAAGTTGCCATCTAGTTGCTTGAAAAATAATGGTGCATGTATTTGGAAATGTAAAATGGATGGTTTGAATGTCCTTTAAAAGCTGGTTCCTTATTATTATTACTGCTTGGTAATCTGATAGCATGTGGTGCCTTGTACTGATGTAATGTGACTTTATCTGAACTTCAATATGTCATATTCAGCTTAAACAGATTATGCGGGTGCTCTGGTGTTACTCAAATGTGTTGCTGAGGTGTGAGACCAGGTGTTTTGAATATATGGAAAGATTCTCACTTTAATGTGAGGAGAGGAGACGAGCGACTCCTTGAGCAAAAACACATAAATCAATGGGTCACATGGGAAATGAAACACTCTTGAGACAGATTTGCCCGCCCACATTGTCCCAGCAATTAATTTCACATGATGAGGCAGGTTAAATCTACTATAATCCGGTGAGGTCCATCTTGCGGATTACTATAAAATGGGATGACTCAACTGCTTTTGTGAAACAAGTTTCCTCCGAGCAGAGCAGAACTTCTGCACAGAGACACATAATTGATATTTAAAGCCATCCATAATGAACAGGCAGCTCTAAATTATTCTACTTAGTGGCTCCAAAGCGGCTTCCTTGATTTCACAGCTCTGGAACAAATCACATAATTGAGTGCGAAACCAGCCCCAGCTAATTCATGACTTTTCTACGTGCTATAAAACCATAAAACAGCCTTTGGAGTTTCGATGTCTGACTTGGATTCAGTCAACAGAATGTGATTTCACACAGGCAGATTTCTTCTAACAGGATAACCAGACTGATATTAGATACTTTTTGTGAGCATTATTGTCTTTGTCTAGGACTGGCAGGCGTCAACCTCGACATGACCCCACCCACTGCTTCACTGTGAACAGGTAAGCCAATAGGACACATGGAAACTGTTAGGCATCCAAGAGAAACTCCACTAGAGTTTAAATATCTGTCACTAAGCCAATATGGCCATCAGAGCAGCTAACACTGTACAGTACCTCACACAGAGAAGGCAAACTCCACAAAACCAACAAAGATCAGAACTGCTTTGTGTGTACATGTGCATTTATTTGATCACTGATCGCTACAGCCTGCTGCAGTGCATGAAAACATTTATTACTGTGAGAACTATAATTATGCTACAAAGGTTTTTTTTTGCTTGGTGATGAAAGCAGAATCGAGGGTTTTGAAAAAAATGGTTTATGTCGGGGCTTCGAACTCAAAAAGAGCCTTGTAAAGATCATAATGTGAGTTCTGCCAGACGTCAGGTTGTAATAAATGTGATGTGATAAATGCCAGATCAGTTGTAAAGATACCTGTATTTAACATTATTGTTTGACATGCTGTTTTTTCACCTTGCTTCTTAACCACTCTGATAATGTCCTGCGAAATAATTAAATTATGAACAGGACTACAGTCAGGTTAGAAATAGACCGTGCACGCTGAGACGAAATAGCGCATTATGAAGTGTAAAGGTTGTTAAAAGCCAATTTAGACCACAAATGAGTCTTTTTTTGTGATGTTTCCTATATTTAGTGATTCTAAGTGAGACCATATCTTAAAATGTGAGAGCCAAGGTTGAATTCCAATCACATTGCAGCACGCTCGCAATGCAAAAGGATGGTAATACCAAGCATATGGTAACTGTAGTTACATAGACTCTTCAAAGGAGCTCAGTGTTGACCCGGAGCAAGAACAAACTTGCAAGTGCAGACTGTGAAGGGAGTGTAGAATTATACCCTGGGCTGTTGTCAAGGCTGTGAGATACAGAAAGAAAAGATAACTGCTCTTTATAGTCGACCATGCAAAATCTTAATTTATCTGCACACCGAAATCAGGCAGGGAGCAAGTAGTAATAGTTGGGAACTGTATGCACTTTAAGATAGTGTCATGTCTTTTATTAAAGCTTAATCACCATGTTCTCTGGTGCATAGATTAAACTGCAAATCTGAGAAAGAGGGAGACAAGAGGAGATAAAAGGTTCACAGAACATTCAGGCTGCTTCTCTGTTCATGGTCTTGTTTTGCAGGGAGGTTTCAAAGACAGAAGTCAAAACAACACATGTTGTCAACATGGGAACAGCTGGTAAGAGCGGCGTCATGGGGCAGAGGAATGTCAAGAGTCATAGATCTTTTATCCATCAGGCCAAAATAGCTACCGGACTTGTTTGAAACCACGCATGGGAGCAGTGTGAAATTTATACATCCAACTCACCTCACACTAACCTTTACTAACTTTATCCATGACCAATCTTACAACATGCTTTGAACTATAGAAACCAGATAATGAATTTAAAAAAGTACATGCAAATATATCCACGAGCAAAATACAGATATCCTTTGCTGACAGAACAGTCCAGTGCAGTGATGGATTTCAGCTGTGACAAGTTGATTTTGCCGTATTATTCATCGCAGGATGGGACTGATTGTGTGATGTGGAAATAATTTCCTGCCTCTGTCAATGCAGTTCCTGACAGACACTCAACTGCAGGAGCTGCAGCGTACTTCTGATTGGCGAAAACTAAACAGTATATTCTGCGCTCCATGCCAAGTATGACTTTGCCATCTTTTAAGAGTTAAATAAACAACCGGTTGAGTAGGCATATACAGTTTCTCCAACACAGTTTCCATTTTAAGTCAACACCACTCAGAAAAGATACACCAAGAAACCATAAGTCAAAACTAAATGACAAAACAGACGTGTTTTTCCGTCTGACTAAACATTCCACTGAGAGCTTTTTCCATTACCGTGTTATACTGAAACATGCAGCGCTGCTCGAATCAGTGTTCTGCTGCAGATGGGAACGAGGGATAACTTTAGAAAAGTTACTACAAAGACAGAACTTGAAATAACAACAGACCAGCCGTAAGGTTATAAAATAGTGACCTTTGGCACAGAACGTTCAAGTCTGAGTCCCTCTTCCTGCTAAATGTTGCACAGCTGCTTTTCTAATCTGTCATAGCAGCCAGCTTGCCACAGCTTGCATACAGGGAAGTCTGGAAAAACTCCAAACGGGATGATCCTGACCTTGCATTACAAGGACAAGAAAGATAAAATATAGAGCAAGTGATACAAGAGAAGAAGAAGAAGAAGAAGAAGAAGAAGATTTTTTTACATTGTGTTTTCATAGTTTTAAAAAAAAAAAAAAGGAAATGGATGGAAATCAACACCTGGTATGTGTGTCTTATTACCACATATCCAATA